AAGGCACATATCTCCAGGGAGACAGTAGGGAGTGGCCTGGAAAATCTGCAGCTTTGTGGGCATTGTCTCATTTCCCAGAGTGCTTCACACTCGGAGGCACTAAGATGCAGTGTTGGGGAGTAGCTAACTTCAATTAGCGATGCTACTCCCCAACACTGCATTTTAGTGCCTCCGAGTTACTTTTAAATGCTGTCGCTTTTCCAGTAACGTTTTTTTTTTTTGTACAAATAGCGATGTAGTGTGGCAAAACGCTATATCGTTAAAAAATACTACAGGTCGTCGATGACTTACGACCTATGTGACTTACAACTGATTGACTTTACGACGTTCCGACACCCCAGATATGTGGCAGCGACTGGGCCTTGTCTGGCAGCGCCGGCGTTGCCCAGCGTGAGTGTATGACAGTTTATGTCCCGACTGCAGGCCATGCTAGAATCCCCGCGAGAGAATGGTGATAAAAATCACCAAACAATATGACTTAAAGATGGTATATTTTATTATACAGTGTACCATACAGATGACAATTTTGACATATAAAATAAAGGGCCGACATGACATTCGGAACAGGCCGCAGTTGTAAGCTGATTTTTGTTTTATAATGTCCTTGTGATTAATACTTCAATAACAACCTGTATTTTTCTCTCTTTACAAAAATGTACCAAGTGTTTCTGACGTGTGTTTTTTGCTTGAATACTCTGAGGATGCATGTTAAAGGGTTGAAAAATACTTCATGGCAAACAATATTTTCGACATTTTCATTAAAATGCGTAGGATCACTTCGGTTCTTGGACAGATTATCGAAGTCTTTTTCGTTGTTGTACCCTAATTTTCACACAGGAATTGGGAAGTACTCTTGGTTTATACCAAACAAACTTTTTTGAAACATTGTGATTTGACATTACATTGTTTAAAAAATATATAGATTATTGTAATATTTTCATATTACTTTTAACATCATATTTCACATTTTAAAAAATTAATTTAATTAATAAGAGTATCCTACAACACAAATATTAAGTACTACCGGTTGAAATAGCTTCGATGTCTTTAGCTACTTTTTCCCTGTAGCTTGTAGTGTAGTTAACTACTATATTAAAATTGTAGCTTGGCTGTAGCTTAGCCACTTTAAATCATAAGTAGCTTGTAGCTTGAAAAGCTACCGTTTAAAAGTAGGTTCCCCAACGCTGCTAAAATGGCTTCCTGTTCCCAAGAGGCTCACATCCGATCTGTCAACAGGAACAATCTCAGATCATTGACTTGCTTCTAGCAACATCCATACCGTAATACACCCGGTCATGGGCTTCCTGTCGATGCACGTCTTTCAGTCCTCTGTAGTCATTAGCTGAGGGACTCACAGGAAATGAACACCCTCAAGTGCTGGAGAGCACCCTAGGCACCCCTTTGCGGCCATCTCTGTGAGGAAGGCTGCATGAGAGGAGGAAGACAAAGAAAAAGAGCTGATAAAGAGAGAAAGTGGGCGAGGGAGGGAGGCATGTACTGGCATGCCCTCGGGTTGGTTTTCACAGGCAGCTGTTGGCAGAGTCCTGGCTGCAGAATGTAAGGCTGTCTGGATGCCTTTTTGGCAGGAGCGTCTCAGGGGCATGGATACCCTGGCAGATTCAGGGGGCCCAGCCTAGACAGGGGCCCTCGAATGCGTAAAATTATATGTTAAATTGGGTGGGGAGTAGCCAAGGTGACATTTTGTCAGGGGGCCCAGAATTTCTAGTTACGCCCCTGCTCCTTGGGCAATGTGACTGGACCAGGTCCTGACCAGCTTAATTGAAGCTGATAACAGCATATCAGGAGGAATCTTAAACTGTAACCTATCCTGTACCAGATGAACTGATTCATTCTTGAATCGGTCCTTTGTTCATCTTTGGGGATTTTTTTTTCCCGTAATATCAACTGCTTCATGAAGGATAGTAAACATTTACTTCGAGATTACAGGCATTAGAGCAGACATTTGTGTTATTGTGTTTTGTGTTACCTTTTTATTAGTTCTTCTAGAGCTACAGGCGACTTGTTCAGAGTTTGCAGATGCGATGCTTGTTTTAATATCTGTGCCGGCCTTTCGGAGCCTGCACACCCTCCATCGGGATCTGCTCTGAGATGCTGCCTTCGCCGAGGTCAGCAAAACCGACGCGGCTAAAGTCTGCTGCCACCCTCTGAATATCTATACTGTCTCCACACGCTCGGCTCTGCTGTGTCCGCCGATCGCCGGCGGCGTATAGAGGTGTGAGGTCTGTGTAGATGAGTGAATGTGACTGCGAGAGATGGAAGGACAGAAGCAGAGAAGGGGGGAGGAGAGCTCTCTCTCTCTCCCTCTCTCCCTCTCTCAGGCGGGACAGAGTGGAGTTAGGTTACATTCTTTCCATTGGGGCTGTGGGGCTGCCAGGCAGGTCACTCCCAGTTCAGTCTTGGGCAGGAATATGGCCCCTCCATTTTGCTATTTATTTGTTGTACTGATCTCTTTGCATGACTTGCATGTGAGTTAACGTATATTACTGCAAATATATACTACTGTGTGCAGGACTGGGTCCTTGTGTATTATCGTGTATCTGTGTGTAGCAGCTTTAGTCTGTGTTTCTGCCTCAGAAATCCGCTCTCTGTACATTTGGTTATGTTTGTCAGTGTGTGTATATTTGGCTGTTTTTTATGACCAGCTGTGTCTGTTAAAGGCACTTGATGGACAGCCCGGGAGGGGATGTGTATTTTCATTCCCCCACATCGCTGCCGATGATGTCGAAAACGCTCCGGAACCTTAAGGCCAGCATGTTCCCCCTGGATGTGGCCGGTTCGGATCCTGTGGCTTTGGCTGTGGCCGCATGGGCAGTACCTCCTCCCTTCAGTGCACGCTCTGGGCCCCAGTACAGATTCCGCAGCTTGCTGGAAATTCCCAGAGAGCCGGGGGCACGGCAACTGCTCCCCCCTCCCTCCTCCCGCCTCCCAGGGTGAAGGGAGGTTCAGCCTGTCCCCGCAGACTCAGGAAGGCAGCAGATCTACTGACCATGCGCTGTTACCCAAGGCATCGAAGCGGCAAAGCCAGTGTGGGACATGACTGCCTGGACACTTTCCTCTCCAGACCGTGAATACCATATCCTCTTAGAGCCCCCCCCCCAGCACTCAGTACCTGCTGCTAGGCTCAGAAGATGGCTTCAAACCATTAATGCCATTCAACAGTCAGCCAAAGGGTTCACCTGCTCCATATGGGCCATACGCATACAGGGAAGGGGTTAGATGATTGAGAATGTGCCTGAACAACGTAGCCATGCCATCAATATTCTTCTCCTATGGGAATGACTGGGGTTCTTTAGATTCCATCTCTCTCTTCCTCCTTTAGTCTTTCTCCATCTTTTTCCTACTTTATTTTCTGAGCCCAAGTGCCATTCCTTAAATTCATGTCCATCCTGAAAAAGAACAGCTTTGAGTGTTTGAGTGTGAGCCAAAGAACGCCGGTAGACAACGTGTGCAGGTACCACAAAGCAGCCTGACCCATCCTCCCCAGCCCTTGCCTTCCTGGAGGGCCCAGGTGTGCCCTAAATCAGCTTCTCTTGCTGGACGCCTGCCTGGATGGAAGTCTGCGTAGTGCTGGACTCCGGCAAGGTTTTCCATCCCAACACCGTCACGAGTGGCTCTCGGCAAAGAGAGGAAAAACTGCACCTGACTCCTTTCCCCCCCGTCTTCCAGGACCTACGAGACGGCAGCTTGTGCATGGGGGTGGGGGCTTGCCTGAGGTGACTCCCGGACCCGATGGGAGGCTGAGCCGAGGTCGTCCACGGCGATCTCCAAGGCCCTGCCGAATTCCCCAGTAAACCTCCATCTGGAGGGAGGAGCAGGACATACTGATACTTTAATTAAACCGCTAGTTGGAAAACATCCCTCACTTCACTACCATCTGATTATTAAATCCCTACGAAACACAGCCAGCCAAATATTCCCTTTCGTTTGCTCTCTTTGGTGTCTAAAACTTACCTTATGACAAATGACCCTTAAGTAAAAATATACAATCTGCTTCTTTTCATCTGGTCTTGTAATCTCACCCGGTCCCAGGTTTTAATAAGATGCCTGGGTTAATATTTGTGACAATATGCATTTAGTTGTTGGTCTGAATTAGTTTAGGATTACTGTCGTCAGAAATATCAATTCTGGGGTAAGTTATTTTTTTCCATGTATATTCGCCTTGTCTTTTTATGATTTAAAAAGTTAGTTTTCCTGACTCCACCAGATTCACACACGAGGAGCACAAATCTTACTGAAAAAGGTTTAAGGTAACACAGAAACCGTTTACTGGAGGACAGCTGTTCCCCTCCTCATGAACTCATGTTCTATGAGCGTGGTTTCCATCTGTATTTATTAACACAACAAGTCTAAACTTTCTACATAAAAGAAATCTACAGCACCTCAAAACGGGCAAGGAGGGGAGGGTTGCGTGCCGCAATGCTACGTAATATGTCGCCCTCTGGTGTCTATTGCAGTCACTGCCGAAGAAGAGACCAATTTGTATCCCAGCTTTCATCTGAAAACGCCGTCAAACTTGCCAATGTGGTTTGTCATTTATGATTAGGAAAAATATCTGTCCTTAATATTTTCCCCCGAAGCACTATATTAACAGATATTAATAACCTGTGTTTACAGTTTGAAAGGATAAAAGGTATTTATGAGCAATGAGAGCCCGTATTCCCTCCGAGCACCCTGGGCCAAAGCCTTGATAAAATGCAATACATCACGATGAAAAATTAAATTCATACTTTGCATTTTACTTTGCATATTACTTTGCTTAACTGGATGTTTAGGGTCAAAATTTAATGCTATTGCTGATATAATTTTACTTTTACAAACAACATATTGCTGCCAAAACGCCCAACCCTCCCCCTTTGACGTAAGGCTCAGGTGAAAGGGGATGCTGTTGTCAAATGATGTAGCGATGGACCCCAGTAGGACAAAACTACAGGCAAGAGGAGCCGGCAGGTCACCAAAGAGCGAATTATTTTGCTGTCCAAATGGCCCGAAGATCGCAGGCAGCAGGGGGGAGAACCGACTCGTACCCCGATCTGTACCCCGAAATAGCCGCCGTCAGCTCCAGTGCAGGTGAGTGCGCCAGTGCACTGCAATTTGTTAATGATGCACTAAGAAAACGTACTATTGGACATCCCTGAGTGTGTTCATTAAAATAATTCACTGTGCAATCTATATTGCGCAGTGTATTGAATACACGATTGTGATGTAAATGTATTATCGACCGCTTTTGCTCAACAAATAAATCGATTTAGTTATTGAGGTTTGAGAGCTGATTGGACTCTCTTAATTAGAAGCTTAGTCATTTAACCGTCTCATATAACTTAAGCGACTGGCAAACTGGTCACATAAATCATTATGCCTACCCAGTTTAGGCATTGCTACTTTTTCCGATTAACGGTCATATAGCCTATCTTTAATGATTTTACAATGATTTTACCAGAGTCGTGTGAGATTTTGACTTGCCTGCTCTCTCGCAAAAGGCAATTAACGACTCACCCATTTTAATAAATTAGTCACTTTGTTTGCCATTGTTAGTGCTATTTGTGCGCAGTTCCTCAGGCTCTGGTGTCCAGTTCTCACGATATTGAATTGAGGCCCTAAATCCAGGTGGTTATTTGGTTCCACATCGTCTGTGAGGCGAACAAACTCTGTCTAATCCCGTGGTATCAGGTTATGAATAAACCTTTTTAAGCGAATTGCACGTGTGCTTAGTATACAAGGGATGTGACAAGAGAATTCACACCAATGGTTTATCAGTATTCATCCGGTGGACAACAGGGGTCTGCTCCCTGTCACTTTCTGGTTGGAGGATACTTAAGAGAAATCAGCTAGAAAATGTAATTAGACGTGTATGTGTAGCCTGATTTTTCAAAGCCTTGTACAAAACTGCGGCATACATTTTCTTTTTTTTGTCACACATTCACCTGATTGGGTTAGCATTTTTCATCCACTCCAGATGTTGACAGCAGCTCCACCGAGAAACTTACAGCTAACGACGCGGACGACGCCTTCCAGGCGCACTCGACGGGACACTACGCGTCCCCTGCACGCCGGCGCCACCGCACCACCTTCAGCCATGAACAGCTGGAGCACCTGGAGGTGGCCTTCGGCCAGAACCACTACCCCGACATCTACTGTCGTGAAGAACTAGCCCGGGTCACCAAGTTGAACGAGGCGCGCATACAGGTGGGAACCGGCTCCCTGGTAACGAGCGCTAACGCGATCATTCAACATTAAACCGCCTGTTTCAGGAGTGGTGCTCAATTAACTAAGGAGCGTTGTGCAAACCAAATTTGTCGGTAGGCGCCATTTCAAAACCACACACAAGACATAAAAGATACGCATGCACAGATATTAATGTTCTTGAAACTTTATGCATATATTATGCATTCAAACACGTTCCAGTTAACTTTGTTCACTGCCAGATCACGGGATTATAGGAACGATGAGGGATGGGGGAGGGGATTAAGAGATGTGATCTGATGGGGGAAGCTCGTTCATTGGCCAGATTACCCTGACTTTGAGTTTACTGCAGTTTAATGACGTGGTGTTCGCAGTCAGTATATTGACGTTATTGGTTGACTGAATAATTAATTTATACATTACATTTCATTTTTACAGAGTATCGGGTAGGGACGTGCCTACCTAAATTTGTACAAGGCCACTGGCTTTATAGGCTTGTTTATTATTTCTTTAAAAAATTGCTTTGTATTAAATTAGCTCTTTGACTTTTTACGCGTTATGGGAAAGCACCACAGCACGTTTTAGATGTCTGTTTCTTTGAAACCCATCTCCTATAGGTGTGGTTTCAGAATCGGCGTGCCAAGAAGAGAAAGCAGGAGCGAGCGTCCCAGAAGGCTTCTGCAGCAGGGTCTTTGCCGGCCCGTGGCAGTCTGGTGGGTGGGAGGTGTCTCTCAATGAACGGGGCAGAACGACAGTACCAGTACCACCGCTCCCTGGCCCACGTGCCTCATTTCCCAGCTGTGTTGGGGTCCAGCAGCTACCCTCATCCCTCCCCCACTACACAGTTTCCCTGCACCTCCGCTTCTCAGCCTCCAACCTGCCCGCATGAGGACTGGTACAAGCAACTGCGCCACATGGGCGCCCCCCCTCCCAGTCTCCCCAGCCCCATGTTCTCTCTGGCCTCTATGCCTGGGCTGGATCCCGTCCCTCACTGGAGCTAAGTCTGTCTGGTGGTCTCATAGGCCGCAGGCTGAGTGTATGTGACCTTGGCAATGACTGAGACCGTCCGCAGAATTCAGAGCTTCTTCAGCTTCCCTCTGCTCAGTCCTTCAAGGCTGTGCCCTGTTCTCTGCTTGTGAGATCTGACTGATATCTAAACATTCCAGTGTAGTTTATTTTACCATAGAGGCCTCTGATTTTAAAGAAAACCGCAGTACACCAGTCTTGATGATGTAGAGAAAAACATCAGTTATATACAGTATACGACAGATTTTTTTAATGGAATACCTCAATCATGGGCAAGAGACTGAAAATGATGTTGTCGTTACACTCTTTATTTTATTTCTTCTGTATTTTGCCATTTGCGCTTGCTAAAAATAACATAGATGTATTTGACAAAATAAATTTATAATAATTCTCCTTGGAAGTCCATACAGGACTGAAAACACTTGGTGAACAGTTCCTTTTCAGGGTGAAGAACATACGTCACGTCAGACCAATGTGGACTGTAATGCGTCTGGGACTTTTGAGGTACTGTATTTAAGGTCCATTAAAATGCAGGTGATTTAAAAAGCACCATGAATTATGATAGATGACAGATTATATGATAGCTGACCTTTTATTGCAACTGTGATTTACACAAAACACTGACATTTCCTACATACAATGTCACATTTCAGTTTACAGTTTATAGTTTTTTAATGTAGCCCAGTTTCACTGTGAAATCAGAAAAAAATGAAACTACCTGAAAATATATTTACTGTAACAAACTGTTTTGGTTATACTGTAGAAAACTATTTTTTTTTTTTTTTTTTACAAATGACAGAATTATTCTCGAAGGCTTATTGCATGAACAGCAACATTGATATGTGTAGTTTACACCATAACTGGTACTCAAATGCAACATCATGCGTCTATTTTAAAACACAGTGGTCCTGCTTTCCATGTCAAGTTAACCCAGTTATGCGACAAAGTACGACGCACCAAGCTGACCGTCTCGTTTCGCATTGTCACAGCGATTGCAGAGAAGCATTTAAAAATATAAATAACTCCCCATATATTGTCACCACTTAAGTGCCAAAAACCGCCACTGAACTGTAATGGTTAGTATAGTACACTGCCATCTAGTGGCAAGAATGTGTAGCTGAGTCCTGTTCCGCAGTTGACAGCCGGACGGAACACGCAGCAAACACGCCATATCTGATCGCAGGTCCTTTAACATATATCTGATCTTACTAGTAAAACTTGGTGGTCATGATTGTTAAATTTCACAACGGTCCTAGTTAAGATCGGCATATGCAACACGTCTTCCACATTTTCCTGCCAGTATTGTTCAGCGTATGCTAACGACTATACAGATGGCGACAAGTCCTGCGATAACACAGTATAAATGCCAACACCCCCTAAATTCACAGACTTGCTATCGCAAAACAGTTTCATTAACACCAGTATTTCAATAAATTGTTACAGCACTTTATTGCACAAAGACGACATGTTTGGCAGTATACTAGATTAAGTGAATGTTTCTGCTGGTATTTCAGCTAGCGCAAACCACTGAATCAAACTGCACTAGCTCCTATGGATTAACTGCAAAAATTAAGTTGCATTAACTTGCTGCCTTTCCGAGATTTCAAAATGCAAGGCTGCTGTGCATTGGAACAAATTTCACCACTCGATCGCCGCCTCCACCAACTTGTTACTCCAGGGATTTTGCAAACTCCGCATAGTCGATGTAGCCATCGTTGTTTTTATCGTCATCTCTAAGAACGTCGTCTATTAAACTGATGAGATCTTCCTCTTTCATCGGCTGACTGTTTGCTCCTCTCTCCTAAGAATTACAGAAAATTGTCATTAAAATGGAATTTAAATGGCTACTGACAGAAATGTTAAGAAACGAAACCAAAAGAAATCCAAATCATTGCCGCACTTTTATCATACTACAGGAAACCCGCTTAGTTTACTTTAGCTCCCTTTCAGGTTACCTTAGTGAACCTGTAACCCAGCTCTGTGTATTATGCATGCATGTAAAGACACCAGGGTGATATCCATGCAGCACGTGCACTCATGCGCGATAGAGGGATGCCACACCTCCTTGTGCACGTGCGAGATCGCGGTCGCCAGCTCCAATCCGTCAAGTAGGTTGTTGCCGTCGTAATCGTGCATCTTGAAGTAATGCAGCTGCAGCTCCTGAGGCGTCATGTCCGACTCTGGCTTTTCTATGACGCCTTCCAGGTGCTCCATGATGTGACTAATGAAGAGAGAAGATAGGATAGCAACCCGCGGTCATCACTAAAGCACCGATACATCAAGACATTATGACGGCTCAGAGGCCACTCATGCAGTCACACGGCTCTGTGCCCACAGCTGTCATATTAGAATGTCATGCGCATCTGGACCATGTAACACCCAGTGACATTTGGAGTTTAGGCATCAGTGAGGGAGAAACTGTGTTATAACATGCACGCCCAGCAACACTAAGTGAACGGGCATTTCTAGTGCACACGCTTAAAATTACAACTAGAAGCCACAAATGTCAAAGTCTTTACCCAGGCCAAGGACACATACATGATACTCACTCTTTATCCTGGACCATATTCTTGTCTAGCCGGTGACCCTCTGTGATCTCTTGGTGGGCGTAAGTTGACAATAAAAAAGCAAAGAACAGCAGAAAGCCCAAAGCTGCCCTCGGGGTTCTGCTCTCTCTCCAAAGAATCATGGTGGGGTTTCACCACTAAGAACAAGAGCAACATTCACTTGCAATATGGATTATGGAACCACACGACCATATGCACGAGTCTCAGCTTTCTTGTGCAATTGAAATACGATTAAAGCATGTAAAACGTGGATGTGCATTATATCTATTTTTGCTACAATCATTTGTTTAATCAATTGTACTTTAAATCTTTTGAAAGACTTATAGAGGAGTTAGCGTGACATTCACGATGACAGTTAAATCATTCCCACATTTTGGGGAATTGCACACGTACATAAGTCAGTTGGCCAAAGTACACGACGCACCGTTCGCGGGTAAGAATGTAAAATACATTCTAGTTTCCATCAAAGGAAATGCCACTAAATATAAATATACTGGAGAGTGAATGGGGAGCCAAAGCCTTACCAGTCGATGTCCTGGTTATGAAGGTAATAACTAAATAAGATTTCGTGTCGGCTTTCTTACTAACCAGCTAGTGCAGAATCCAGCCAAGCCAGCAATGCCTAATATCCGTTCTGTTCTTTTTAAAAATTAATGTCGTAGCTTTATTAGAGGGCAGTTACCCCACAACACAATGCTCGCTCGATCAAACCTGTCATACTCACGTGATCTGAAGAAATATAGCCGAAAGTAAGAGTTGTGAGCAACCCTGAGCGTGAAAAGAAATTCTTGCTTCTTGTTTTTTTTCTGCCCCAGACTTTGTTTGATCCTCTATGTTTTCCGTAATGACGCGAAAGTACACGACGTCTGAATTCTGATTGGATCACACAGGTCAACGTCATGGTGTCGATGGGGGCTTCCGCGCTTTCTGTGTGAAATCCACGTCGGGACTCGGGTTGTTTCTTCGTCGTACCGTGGAGCTGAAGTATTGGTTGGCTGTAATATCTGCAGAGGCTTGCCTGTTTGTCAGTTAACCAACAGTTTCTGTCATTGTTGGCCTTTCTAAACACCTGAACATCCGTTTAAATTGCTCTAGGTACATGCGTAAGCAGTTATATAAATATTTTGATACGATAGCAAGTCTGCTGAAGGTAAACACCACACAAGATCAGCTAGCGCCAACTGACCGATTCCTTTTAAGGGGTATTTTGCCATTAAATACGGCTACATACAATTTCCACATTATGACTCCTATTAGACACCCGTTTTGTATGGTAAATTAGTTGGCTGTAGATGGGAAACTTCTTGGCAGTGAGTACGTTATCAGTTAAAGCGTTGAGGAAAAATATAAAAGTGTAATAAACACCGTTGTGGTGAATTCATATGTTTTGTTAGTTACATGGATCCCGTCAACTATAGATATATGTTTAAGTCATATCGAAGGAACTGATAAGTAGTATAGACATACAGTATTAGATACTGAAGACCTAAATCTGGCACGTGATGTGAACACTTTATGTTAATTCGCCACCTCTACACACGGTGGTGCTGCTGCGCTTGTGTACGGTCAGCCCCAGTGAAAGGTGCTTTAATGAAATGTACCAAGAAGCAGGAGCCTCACTAGAGATTTACGAAAGGGGCGGCTAAGCTTTTATTAGGGGGTCTGATGGAAATGCCCCACGTTATTTAAACTACGTAGTGTACTTTTTTTTTTTTTGGGGGGGGGGGGGGGGCAAATAACATTTTAGGGGGGGCTAAAGCCCCTCTAAATGGACTTAACAACGCCCCTGCCAAGAGGCCTTGGAATTTCCTGTTAAGCAAGAAATTACACAACTAATTGCACAGTTACCTCGGCCATTGCTTAAGTCCCATTGCTTAGTTAGTGACTGTTAGGGCTAATACAGCAGTGCTTTACTCATGTTAATACAGCAGTGCTTTACTCATGTTAATACAGCAGTGCTTTACTCATGTTAATACAGCAGTGCTTTACTCATGTCGAGCTGCATGAACCACCCTTGGTGATGTGTTGCTCGGCACTACTGTATATAACACTTTGAAAATTTGTTGATTAAAATCAGATTTTCAGCAAAATAGGTGAACAAATGTGGCTAAAACATTGGATATTTTTATTTAGCTATTAATCTATAAAGCCAACAATGTACTAATTAGCAAATTATGCGTAGTTATACTGGGATTTATTTAGTTTCAAAGTTTTATTTGTCACATACACAGTTATGTTGGAGTTCCTAATTTGCCCGTAGGTGTGCGTGTGCCCTGCGATGGGCTGGCCGCCCGTCCAGGGTTGTTCCCTGCCTCATGCCCATTGCTTCCGGGATAGGCTCCAGACCCCCCGCGACCCAGTAGGATAAGCGGGTTGGAAAATGGATGGATGGACAATTATATTGAGTACAATATGCAATGAAATGCATGGTTGCCTTGCGCCAGACTATGGGGAAAGGGGGGGGTATACATTTCAGAGACAAGATATCATTTATTACAGATATTAGACATTAAATATAATAAAAATATCTGTGGTGTGCAAAATTGGCAGTAAGTAGGTGGAGGTAGGGCAAGAGTTCAAAAATAAATATATGTTTGATTACAGTATGTGTAGATAAGTAGTCTGTAGTGTACACTGGTTTGCTGGTCATAAACACTGTCCTCATTCAGGGTCTGTATCGCCTGGGGAAAGAAGCTCCTCCTCAGCCTTACTGTGCTGGCCATCTGGCAGCGGCAGTTAATCTCCATGGCCCTGGACCTGCATCACCTGGTGTAAATGTTCAGGCGTTTGGGAAGTTCAAGTCCGATTGTGTGCTCAGCTGACTGCACACCTGTGCAGAACTTTGTGATCCTGCTGTGTGCTGTTCCTGAACCTAGCGATGATGCTCCCTGTCAGGATGCATTCGATAGTGGTTCTGTAGCAGTTCTTTCATATTGGGAGGGGCAGCTTGAAGTCCCTGAGATCTCTAAGTGGTACAGGCGTTGGCGAGCATTCCTCAATAAGGAGTAAGTGTGCGGGTTCCAAGTCAGGTCCCCGATTATGTGACATCAAGGTATCCAAGCTACTCGCCCTCTCCAATAAAGCACCATCAATACTGATGTGGTGGCAGTCCACCTGCTGTCTCTTCATGAAGCCCTCAATCAGCACCTTTTTCTTCCTTACAGGGAGTTGTCCTGGCACCATAGTGACACCTTCTCCACCTCGTCTAGGTAGGCCAACTCATTTTTATTGCTGATCAGGCCTACCACAGCTGTATTGTCTGCCAACTTAACACTGACATTGAAGTCAAATGTGGCCCTGAAGTCATAGGTATGCAGGGAGTTTAGCAAAGGGCTCAGCACACAGCCTTGGGGGGCCCCCATGTTGAGGATGAAGGTCGACAAGGTGTTACGGCCCACTCATACTACCCATAGTCTGTTTGTTAAAAAGATTTATACCCAATTACACAGGAAGCATATTAGCAGAAACAGGGCTGTAGCCAGGATTTTTAAAACATTGAGGTCAAAAGTGTAAACCCTTTCTAGATGTGCCCCGTAATCGTTATTACAGGTGCAGAAATAATACTGAGGACTTGACCTCAGTGTCCTCAATGGTAGGTATGGGTATGAGTAGAAACACTGCATTGTGGGACAGTTTCTTTTTCCCGTGATGGAGGAAAGTGATAGTAATTTGCATAATTCTAGCTGCATTCCCATTAAGTTTCTTGTAAGAAATGTTTAGCACCAGGAAATTATGTGGTTGGGTGCTAATAAATATGAAGAAAAACGTTGACTCCTGTAACGCGCGAGTTTCATTTGATACACACGGCCATTTGGTGGCAATAGCCAGTGCTTTTCATCGATTGAGATTTTTGGCTTTTGTCAAACTTAAATCGCTGAGCATTTGGAACTTTCCTGACTTGGCAATGGCCACTTCTCCTTCGACCGAAACTGCACGGCGTCGCGCATGCTCAGTGCGAATCTCGTTGCTCAGTCTGCAGTAATTCCAGCGGTGCCGGGAGGGGGGCTCACTCTTGATGGGACTGAATCGGGATGGCAGCCAGGCTCTCGTTCTCGCAGTACCGGCTGGAGGCGGAGATCGAGCGATACCGTGCCGGCTGTCAGTGGGATAAGATCCCCGCGCTTGTGGAACAGCTGGTTTCAACTCGAATACACGAAAATGGTGAGTGGCACGCAATTCGCCGGGGACGTACCTCTCTTCGGGGTTTTCGCTGCTGGTGAGAGACGGGCACCCTCACGGGACCTCTGCACGAGCTGAACTTTGCACTTTTCAAGTATCAAGCTTATGCAATGGCATCATGTAGATAAATGGGCATGGATTTCTGCGTACGTATCCCACTGTTCAGGAATCAATATCAGTGCAAGCACCCCGCTTATTTACTGAGAAAAGAGTCTGTTTTGTGAACATCTCCAAAGAAAGACTCATCCACAAGATAAGTACAACGATTCTACACACATATCCGTGATCAGACTGAATTTCTTTTAATGAGATTGCCCTTCAAAGAGATGACAAAGTACTTCCATACTATTCACTTAACTTTCATTGGATATCTCCGTTGCTTTTTATTTTCTGCATTATTTTTCTTTAATTTATGACTCATTAAAACATGAAGGAGCACCAGAACTCTGTCAGGATTATCACTGTAAACCTATAAGATCATTACTGTGAGCTTTATTTAGTACTCCCAATGTTCTCCTCTGCTGTGATGAAATAAACAGATTCTCAATAGGTATTCTCAGATTGACCTGTAATTAGGCGTGTGTGATCGTGGTAGGAGAGCATTGTTTAATTTTCTCTATTCTGTGTGAATATCATAGGCTGGTTAGAACATTATGGCTTTCCTTGTAACAGTGTTATTATTATTATTATTATTTGGAACAGGTGAGACACATTGTCCTTGTCAGTTGCTCAGGTCCTTGGTATGGCACTTTCTCTGTGGGGCACAGTGCAGATTACCTTAGCAAAGCAAACATGACTAAGGTGACACTTCCGTGCACTAGACTTGGCTGAATCATTTGTCTGTTTTTTGTGTCAATATGACCCCGGGAGATCATGTGATGCCGTCACGGGCTGCGCCCTCAGCCACATTTCTCTGCTCTCTCTGTTTACACTGTCCTCCCCATCGCTGCATTTCCTGTTGTTGCATGTTTGACGGTCACAATTGGATGAAATTTGCTACGTGCTGAGGGTCAAGATAAGAGGCACGTAGGTGGAACTGCCGTTTAGTCATGACCGTGCAGTTCTAGATGCTGATTTGTTGACAACAGATTCCTATAATGTGGTAAAACTTAAAATATTGAGTATTGTGACAGAGTATAATACACACTATAGTAGCTGAATACCCAGGCATCAGGGGTGTCAGGTACTGTACAGAGACATTTCTGCAGAATTCTGAAGACTATACAATGACATCAATTTTTTTTCAAATCATAATTCATGTTTTGCTGTAATTTTGTGTTTTAGTGTTTGCCTTTGGCAAAAAATGATAAACTACTAATAAATTTGTATTCTCTGTGTTTTTGTTAGTGGAGATTAATTTGCTGAAAGAAGCAAACTTTCAGTACATGATATTAGTCTGGGGTTCACTCTGGAGAGGATGTTTGATAACTACATGCCACCGGCGGTACAACACACAGTCACAAACTATTTCATTATAAATACCTCCGATGCCATAGACCTTTTTTCTTTTAAATCTCTTTTGCAATTTTTCTTTTTATTTGTCACGTTAAAGTATGTCTCTGTGTTCTTTGAAATTGTTTTAAACCTTGCTTTAAGCTCGTCGAAATCCTTGTGAACTGATTTAGAGCAATCATGTTAGGAACTGTGTAGAAATAGACTGAATGGAATACCACTGGGCATGATTAATGTGCTGTGTATTTGCCCCATTCAGAATCATCCTCGGGTGACTTCTTTCAAGAGTTAAAGCGTGAATAAATTCTCCCTTAATCTCTTGAGTCTGTTGCTCACAGGTCTGCCAAAGTGGTATTTAAATTGGCATGTTGGCACCCATACAAGTGTTGGAGCAATTGCCAAAAAGCAATATGTCTGGAACCTGTGCTTTAAGTTTACGAGTTTGTCTCCAAGTTCATTCCCCTGCGGTGGGGTAAGAGTGCCATGTGTCTCTTGCATAGACAAGGCAGGAATGCGATATCGTCCATGAAGGCTTCACTGGAACTGGGTTACCATGTTCCCTTTGCTCGGATTTGTTTCCTTGTGTTTTATTCCTGTCTATTTTTCTATTTTGGCTCTTTCTCCAGAATTCACTGGCCACCCCTGTTCACATATTTTGAGTAGCATGCTTTTTACATAGATTGTCCTCTAAGAGTTATTAGAAATTCCATTTATAGACCTGACTGTAGAATATTTTTCTTAACCTGAAAAGAGTCAAAAAGTTGTTGTTTTTTATCTTTACAAAGCAGAAAGTATTTCTATTGTATCGAGGAGTTGTGTGTTTTAGTCAAAGGTCAAGTTTATATTTTGGCGAAAGAGGATGGGAAAGCAGGGCTGGTCGTACACCATTTAAAATCCTAAACCACTTTGATGTCCAAGAGGAAAATAGCCACACAGTCCTGATGCTTCCACTAGGGGGCATTGTTATTGTAATTGAAGGTAAACAAAGTGGTACAAACAATTGATGCACTCGTCCTGTCGACATCTGTCAGCTCCTTAATGAGGGATTTAATACATAAGCCGTATAAACCCCGATGTAAACAAAGCTTAAGAGGAATGTAAATGGAAGGCACTGATCGCATAAGCAGGCACCACAGAGGAGAAACAACTTTACAGAGAGCTGAGGACTGTTTACCGTCACGGGAGGGGAGGAAAGCGAACCACCTCTGCATCGCAGCTTTAATCTTAAGGAAGACAAGGTGTTTACCTGGAGCAGTGTCTGTGTGAATGGAGTCTCCTTAAGAACAGGAATGTGGCGTTGAGTGTGCTCCTGTCTCGGACTGCAAACTCAGTCGTCATTCACTTTTGTGTGATAGTAACCAGTCCTCTCAGTCGCCCTCAGACCTGGCTTGTGTTCCGTCGCCCTGACCCAGTTCCACTTCCTGTTCCCTCCCATCTCTGTGACCCATGCCCCACCTGTCTATCCGCAGCCCATTTTTTTTCCCCCCCCCCAGATGACTACGGCGACCTGCTTCTGGCAGAATCCCTGCTGGAAGAGTGTCTATTGGAGAACATGGCCCTCCTACGCAGTTCCACCCCTCTGATGGACGACAGCCTGCCCAAGCTGGCCACGGCCAAGTCTCACCTCAACAAAATCCTGAATAGGGGTCATCTGGAGGTCAGGATTTCCCACTTCTGTGGCTGAAATTAAACGACTGTACACCACGGTTGAAGTGTGTTAGTTTATTGACAGTCAAATGAAGCTTAATGAACCATTTGCTGTATTTTCCGGCACCACTAGATGGTGCTCTATTCAAAAAAAGGCTCAAAGCATGCCCCAAAGCAAACCAAGAGCACCATCTAGTGGGGTCAAAAACACAGAAAATGTTTCATGAAGCTTCATTTGGCCATCACAATGTTAGGGAGCGTGTCGCTTTGCAGAAGCCCACCTTTACAGTTGATCATTAGTTAACTGTTGGCTTGGTCCATGTCTCAACATCTTCCCTTGTATTTCCCACTCATGATGCCATCTTCTTTGGCCAGCCTGGCTCTGGTCGTGGTGTCGAGATCATGACCTATTCACTTCTGCCTCGATTGCCCACTAGCCCAGGTACCTGAATGAGGCCCTACTCCTGATGGCCAAGGTGCACTACGCTCAGGGCCGTTACCGTGACGCCCAAGGCATGTGCGCCAAGGCAGTGATAGACCACTTGACACAGGATGAGCAGCCCGTCTACCACCTGCGGCTTCTGGCTGAAGTCTTCGTCATCAAAGGTACCGTGACCTTCACTCCTCTTCCACTATTTGACATGTTCACGTCACACATTTACATCAGTGTACCATCCAGATAGATCTTTCTTGACTGGGCAGACTAATGTTGTATAATCTGAGCACATAACCTTAGTGCTGAAATTACTACTTTTAGCATATGGTTTAATCAAGCACTACAAATGAGGAGTAAAAAATGGAAAGGCCCTTGTGCCCTGACTTAACTTTGAGTCTCCAGATGTCCCCCTAAAATGAATAAAGTGCAAATCCATTTATGTACAGTTGTTCAGCAGCTGTTGCCAGGGAAACCTTAGGTTCATTCACTACGGTTAGAGTTTGGTTCTCTTATTTCTATATAAAGCTTTCGTTTACTGGGGAGATCAAGGGGTCGGTCTCCCCGCTGTACGTGTTATTATAAGCATAAAAATACTGTGCCCTTGGATCTAAAACTGGGCCAGCTCAGAGCGTCTGCACGTTATCTGTAAATAAAGTACGGCTGTGAATATTTTCTCATCTTGTTCCGAGGCCGCTCTGGAACAGGAGGTGCCCATGGTACCAAATGCCAGAGAAGTCAATCAATTTGTTATGGGGGGGGGGGAGCACGGGTGGGAAATGGGTCCAGCCCCTCTGTGATGAATCCCTCGGGGAACAATGAAGAGAAGCCTGTCAAAACATGGAGATAAGCAAAATAAAACTGTCATGTCTTTATGTTTTAGGGACTACAGATGTAAACTAGCGATTGTGCTACAATCTGGCTCATTTACAAGCATTACTTGATTATTTCATTGTACTGTTTGTTCATTAATGTGCATTGTCCCAAATAAATAAATAAAATAAAATAAATGAAATAAATGTTTTATGTGCGTGAAATAGAGCAGGTGCATGCCAACACAGAGGGCCTCTGGTAAGTCACACTCACCCATATACCACGTAGTATCAAATAAGTAATGACTATTCTGGTAGTGATTAATTTGCACAATCATGGTCACTAATTAGAATTATTGAAATGCTTGGCCAGTTTAGTAGCTGGGAATGTTGCAGGGTTGTCGTGAGAATCTGAACTGGCTTGTTAAACGTTTTGGGCATCGTGGTATAAAACTGTTGAGGGTTTCACATCCCGTGTGTGTCACCCTGCAGCACAGTTTACTTCCCCCTGCCCTGTCTAATGCGGCCAGTGAGGACTCTAATTGTGCAACATGGATGTCTGGAGTCCTGCTGAATATAGCTGCGCTTTTGTTACTCATAGTCTGGTCCATGCAACTTTGTCCAGGGGATATTTCTGTAGGGAGGCGTATGTGTCTCTTGTCTGACTGCATGATGCTAAGGGAAACCTTAAAATGTTACGGTTTGATACGTGTCACGTGTTCAAAGTGTAGGAAGCACATGCTCACGATAGCACTGCCTGGCATTTCCATGTGAATGTCTGTCTATTGAGGCTATTATTATGGTTCCCATTATGGTCACACAAGCCAGTGATTGAAGGGACTGGATAGCCCCCGGTCATTGTGGCTCTCGAAAGGCTCGTGTCTCCTGCCACGAGTCCATGGAAGCCACGTCGGCTGCTGCGATTTGCATTCATTTGAATTGCACTGTGGGTTTCCGCTGGGATAGTCCGGTGAGGGACTGAGAGGTGTAGGGATGCACAAGTGCACTAGGCGAGCATAGAGGGTGGCTCAGAAGGGCCTGGTTGGAAGATAAGGCCAATGGCTCTTAGCTGAAGATTCCAGGTAGAAGGAGACGCGAAGGACGGCAGCCGACTCGGTGCCTGTTATGTGAAGTGCTACTGATGTCGCACGTTTATACTAGCAGATTAAAAGGCCGTGCCAGAAAGGTGTGTCCTTCAGAGATATTAGACTGAATGTACCATTTTACGGTTCACACTTTAACTTTCAAGGATTAGTTTTATCTTTACTTATTAAACAAATTTCTGGTAGTTTCCAAACTAAGGCTATCTTTTCATTCCTTCCATCCCCCAATGCAATCCTTGTGTCATGTGGTTCTGTTCACCGTTTCACCCAGAACATTCAGTCGGTGAACAGTGCTTCATTTATTTCTCAATTACTCGAAGGTCCTGGAATCTGTCTTTCAGTGTCACACTGCCTTATGTGGTGGCTGTAGCTGAATTTAAATCTATCCATCTGCAAATCCTCCAGAACCACATATCCAGAGGTGGACATTTCAGGTCCAGAAAGTAAAAATCCAAACCAGGATTTCATTTCAACCAACCAGTTGAGCATAAAGAGTCACAGTCACAGAGTACTCAACTGGTTGGTTGACATGAAATCCTGGTTTGGATTTTTACTTTCTGGACCTGAAATGTCCACCTCTGCACATATCTAAAGCTGAATCGCCATGAACCTAGATCTTGCCCCAGGATGCACAGGACACCAGTCACTGACAACAAGGGCAATTTGGAGACACCAGTTTACCTAAACGCACATCTTTCGCCTGTGGGTGTTACCTGGAGTCCCCGAAGTAAAACTGGGACTGTGTGCAAACTCTGTCACAATCGAACCCACAAACTGATACTCGTAGATTTTCCTTCAGTTCCTGTGACAATGTGTATATTTACGTTTGTCCTCTTGATGAATCTGGCAACAGAACTCCTTAGATGCCAGGTAACTATGTTTAGAATGCGTGCAGTCTTCTTCCTGGCTGACATGTCTCAGATGAAGTTTGCAGAGCACGTGCAGCTCTTAATAGCCGGAGGTCAGGAGCTGCTGTGTTGTAGGAGGTCTCCCTAATGAAGAGCCGTGAGCTTATTACATTACACTCGCCGCCTGCTTGTCTATAGCCCTGCCGCCGTGCATGAGGTCCCAGTAGATTTATCTGTATGCCTGATAAGTTCTGTTCTGGTCATCTGCCAGTACAGCACACTAACTGGGAGCCCAAGCCGCTGACAGGCTGATGAGAAGATAGAGTGCCCATAACTCCTGGGGTAGATTTATCACCGCTTACAGTTTGTTAAAACGCTACATGCAGTTGTGTTAAGGGGCCGGGTTTGTGTTCCCTGCTCTTGGGCACAGCCGTGCTGGAATGGAAACGACTGCAGGTGAACAGGACGAATTCCCTGACCAGGTCTTAGTCTCTGTTCGGCTGTTGGGTGTTGGGTGTCTGTCCTCAAACAACAGCAGACAGATTAACAAAAGGAGAGGTCTGACTTTGTCTCCTGCTGGTCATTACTGTAAATTTCCTCAGCAGACGCCGTCATCTGACGCCTTCGACAAGACAGGAGGTGTTTTTGTACTTCTGAGAGCCATTCATGGGTACGGTGTATGGGCTTACAGCCCAGAGCTCCATCTATGGCTGCACATTCACTCGATTAGTTACCTAGTGACAAACCCATATTCTGGTTTTGCATGTGGAAGCTGGGATTGAGCGGTCAAGGTTGCTGCTTGGGCTTATGTGACTCGTACACCTGCTGCGCCCCCTGCTGGAAGCTGAGTGCACCGTGGCTTGTCTGTACCTTTGTGCCAGGCCTCTCCCTTGACCGCCAGGCTGTGTCGTCGGCCTCCCGGCTGCGCCTGTCTGAACGAGAGGATGAATGTCTGTCCTGCTATCTGCGGGCCTGTGACGCTGCACTGCTGTATCTGCAGGAGCTGGACAAGGTTTGTAGGATGAGGTTGGGGCTGCTGGTAAGGAGAATGTAATGCGAAAGCAAACGCTGCGTGAGTGAAGGTGGTTTGTACTGCGTCTGTGTTGTCCAAATGCTCTATGTGATTGGTTAACCTCTTCACACTCTTATGGTTTGATTGGCCAGCATTTTTATAACCCTGCTCTCGCAGGCAGCTTGTGTTAGTGACTCTGCTACATGATTGGCTGATGCGTTAGTAAAGCCTGCGTTTGTTTTGTTTTGTTTTGTTTTGGTTTTTTTTGCAGCTGATGGCAGTTGGCCAGCCTAGCAAGGGCACAAAGTACCACATTTCCTCAGGCTACCTGGAGTTTGATCTGAGCTTCTTCCAGCAGGCGGCGCTACAGAGTGCCTACCTGTCACTGTTGCATAAAGGGTGAGCGTGAATCCTAGATCTTTTACATTTATAGAAGGATCTTGTGAGGTTTTCTGTGAGTGAAAACAGTAAGTAGATTCTGTGTGACAGTACTCATTTGAATAATTTTTTTTTTGTTTTGTGCTCGTGTATTTTATAGTGAGTTTTGTACTGTTTTCCTTGAATCTCTTTGTTTTTTTTTCTGTGTTATCCTATAAGATCTTATCTTATCTTATCTTACCTTATGTTTTATGTTAATTGCGTCTTATTTTGAAGCTGACATTTTCAGAAAAACTGCCTTTCATTTCACGTGTGTGATATGTTTCTCTGTTTAGCCAGCAGGTGTCACTAAAGTCTAACAGTCAAGCAGAGCCTGCCTCTCACTGGCCAATGTCACCGTAACTGCTGCAGTGTGCTTGCAGCTGGTGGACGGCCTCTCTCAGAGGGTGGTCCCGCCAAGCCAGCTAGGCCTAGATAGACAGATGCTAAACTACTTTGAGTCGGACATACGATAGCCTGTTTTTAAAGTATTTCCTATCCTTTGGAAAGTTGTAATCTTTACGAACCCATGATGACATCATGCTTTTGGCTTCTTGTCCGCCTTCTAGTCCCCGAGGTGTCCCTTGTGTCCTGTGTCACTCTTGCCCTCCCTGTCTGCCCTGTATGTCTGAGCCACGCTTCTCTGTCCACCCCGTGTCCCTCAGTCACCTGGCCAAAGGGACCCAGCAGCTACGCAGGGTGCTGAGGACGATCGATTCCAGGGGCTCCCAGAGCTTCAGAAAGGTGAGGGTGCCTCTCTCCACCCCGACCCTCCCCTAACTGAGAGCAGCACTGGAAGTAGAGTATGCTGACATTGGGAGCTCACGGCTCAGGAAAGGGAAGTGGCCAGGAATAGTGATTTGCGGAACGCTTTAACTTCCTATCTGGGAATTACCTGTGGAGGATTTCCCCAGGACTGTGTGCGTGTGTGTGTGTGTGTGTGTGCGTGTGTGTGTTATGTGGGACTCTGCATTGCTGCAGTTTGGGGAAACTGTCTGTTCTGCAGCCCTCCTGTCTTGACTCAGCAGATCTGGCGTGGCCCCCTCGTGCCATGCAGTCCTGCTCACTACCAGCATGCACGCGTCCACCAGGGGCTAGGAAGAGGGAAGGACAACAACTGCGAAGTGTCGAAAGCTTTACTGCAGCAGGAACACGACACGCATAGACACACACGCTCAGACACAGGTGCCAAATGAGGAACAGGACACATACACACGCATCCATCTCTATGCCTCACAGAGAACAGTTGTGTGATGTCATCAAAGATGTCACAGATAGGTTAGCACAGACAGGATGTGTAATACACAGACATGATAAGCCTTCCCACGGGACACATAAACACACAAATAGTTGTTTGTCTTAACTGGGAATTTGAGGATAAGTTTCCCCAACTCCATGTCGCAATGCAGCTCCTGCTGGGATGAGGTTGCCTAGCAACGCTGCCTTGGTGGGAGCCACTCATCCTTATGCAAGGGCCTCTCATTGATTATTGCTGCCTCTCTCTCTGGGCGGGGGCAGGGTGGAGGGGAGGGGTCACTCCTGCTCTGGAGGGGTGGGGGGTGTCATGGGGTTGAAGATGTGGCACAGAGGTCGTTTGGGAAGAGCAGGGCTGCACCAGGGGAGCTGGCAGAAGCAGCACACACACGTCATGCTCAGTGCTTGTGGGGACTTTTTAGCTGTTTTACAGGTACATCAGAGAACCTCGTACACACACACACACACACACACACACACATACTCACACAGACACACACTCAAACACACAGACTGACACACAGACTGACACACACACACACACAGACACACACACACACTCACACAGACACACACACACTCAGACACACAGACTGACACACACACACACACACACAGACACACACACACACTCACTCAGACACACAGACTGACACACACACACACACACATAGTCCATGTATTCTTTGTGGGGACTCTCCATTCATTTGTACGGGCCCTAATCCCAACTATGACGACCCTAACCCTACCCAGCCCTAACCTTAACCATAAGTAACCAAACAAAATACAAGATAGTTTTTTTAATTGCAGTCATGGATTTTTATAAAATTGAGGTTAAATCTGGTCCCCACAATGTAATAATTACAAATCACACACACACACACACGCTCACACACACACGCCCAGGCCGTCCTCCATCTGCTGCCTCCCCTGGATGAAGCTGAGCAGCAGGTCTCTCATGGCGTCGAGCACAAGCCGGAGCCGACCCGCCGACCCGCCGCCCCGCCGTTCCCAGCAGCTCGTCAGCGCCGCTGGCCTCTCCACACTCTCAGTCATGGCTACAAAATCTGCTTGCAGTCAGCTGCTCAGGGATGAGGAAAGACGCCCGTGGCTCCCCTTAACCAAGAGGACGCTCTGTAATGCTCACAGAGCCTGCTGACTGGCTTTAAATAGACGGAAAAACAGAGAAAGTCAGTCAGCCAGTAATGGGTTAATACACGCTCTGGTGGAGAAACCAAAAAAACACCTTTACCCTACTGGTGAAGCTCCAGCTGAAGTCAGAGTGAAGAGCATGTTGGTGTTTTTTACAGATAACTGGCCATCCTAGGGGGCAGAGGGACCAGAGTGTATCAGACAGGGGTCCATAGTGCCCCCAGCCAGCACAGAAACCCATTTACACAGTGTCTCTGCTGTTAACAGTGCTATGTATGCAGTGCTCTATTGCAGTGTTTCCCAATCCAGTCCTCGGGGACCCACAGCCAGTCCACATTTTTGCTCCCTCCCAGCTCCTAGGGAATAAGAATGTGGAGTCTGGCAGGGAATTCGGGAGGGAGCAAAAACGTGGACTGGCTGTGAGTCCCCGAGGACCGGATTGGGAAACACCACTCTATGGGATGTTCACTAGCCTCTCCCGTCCAGCTGTGTTCTGAAGCCGCCACACCTTTGCTTGTTCCATAGGCAGCCGCCAGAAGACTGGCTGAGGTTCTTCTCAGTTCCATCAGTGAGGATGCCTACTGGGACCCCCTGTCACCCCCACCAGAGGACTGGCTGCAAAGAGAGGGGCCCATCTCCTCCAAAGAAGCCCTCCTCCCCACCTCCAGACTACCTGAGTATTTCAGCAAGGACGGGTTAGCCTGAGCATCCCGTCGCTGTCTGCCACCTCTCTCTTCTCTCTTAACCATTCCCCTTCTCCATATTCTTTCCTCCAGTCTTCCTCTTTTTCGTTCATGTTCCCGTCTTGATGTTTAATCTGTCACCAGATTATGACTCCATGGCTACTCTAGGGTTTTTTAAGGTGAGGGGTATAAGACAGACCATAATTTAGGGGGCAATCTTATCATTAGCCAATGATATGTTTTGAATTTGTGAGTGACGGGAGAGGGGGCACTCCAGGGGCAAATCAGCTTTCAGCTGGGGCCAGTGCCTCTGTGGCTCCACCCCTGTTGGCAGTCACCAAAGAGTTGCAGAAAATTTGCAGAATTCTGAGAGGCCCAACCTCTCTGACAGAGTGGTCCAATCCTGACCGGAATCAGAGAGGAGGGCGGGGTCTTTCAGAGTGGTCCAATCCTGACCTGTGTCAGAGAGGAGGGGAGGTTCCTTCCAATTGGTCTTGTTACAGCCTGGCTCAGAGATCAGGGTGCAGTCCTGTAGAACCATCCTATTTTTTGACCAATGTTGGAGACAGAGCTGGATCCACCTTTTCTGGGGCCTGAGACAATTACTTATTCTCCCTAGAGCTAGAGCCAGCTATGTCTATAATATATTTATTTTTTTATGACTTTGCCTGGCCATCTTCTGCCGATCAGGCCCAAAACTGAGGTGTCCATTCCTCTCGTTCTCTTCACTGGATAAATATGAACCCAAACTCATTACATCCAAACCGGCAAAGTTGGACGTGACTGTTTTGCATTCTGAGGTGTTTTAGCAAGTGATCACGTGACGACCAGAGCATGTGAGCGGAGTGGAGCGGAGCGTGAGCGAGGAGTGGAGCGGGCGGAATTTGGTCAGAGCGCGGAGCGGTTTTCTAATTAAGGCTGGAGCGGTCGCTCTGTTTCACTCCAATTTTGCTCCGATACCGCTCACACTACGATTTTGAGGCGTGCGCAGATCTACCCAGAATTCATCTGTACAATTATCAAGACTGTTACACAGATTGGCTGAGATGGAATTCGCAAAGTATTTCACAAAGGAAACTGATAAATCATACAAGTGTACTATTCTTATCAAACGTATAGATGACAAGAATGTAGAGCAAGATCAACAATGTGGTGAAACTCTTTCAGTGAGTAAAGATTCACTTTGGAATCACTTTTCTCAGAAACATGAGAGTGTGCTATGCGAACAAGCGGAAGCCAGAGCAAAACGTGAGCAAGTTTTATATGGTTGTAGCATATCAAGTCTATAAAGTAAATTAAAATATAAAAGCCTATAAAGTAAATATTGGTAATGAAATACATTTGTTTTGTCATTCAAAGTAGGTCTAATAGGATTTTTTAAATTTCACGTAACGCTGTCAGTGAAATTTTATTTTATAGAGACGCAGCAGCATCAACAGAAAAAAAATTAGGAATTTAAAATGCGGATGCTTAGCCTGTATATTCTTTAAGCTATTAAGCCCACTGATTCCTTTATTTTTAAGCCTATTTTTGTGTGGAATGCCATTGCCAAACCTGTCCGTTGTTGCCCATATGTTGTTTAAAAATCAATATTTTCTGTTCTGAGTAACAATATTGCCGTTGCCCATATTTCTTTATGATATAAGGTTTCGGTTTAACATGAAATTTGTTAGCCATGCAGATTATTTGTCCCTCTTTTAAATTGGAGCGAGCGTGGAGCGATTTGACTGGAGCGGGAGGACATTTTAGTGGAGCGAGGAGCGGTGTTGAGCGGAGCGGCTTAGTGCGAATTAGAGCGGAGGAGCGGGCGGAGCCAACAGCCTCGTGAGCGAGGAGCGGAAATTCTCACCGCTCCACTCCACTCACATGCTCTGATGATGACAAACTTTCCAAAATGATGCTGGCTCGCCTGTTCACACTCAAGGTGACTTACTCACTGGGGTATGCGGTCAGTGACCAGTGGAGACGCAGGTTCGCTGCTGTGGGCCACTGACTCTCCACAGCCCAGCACTGCATCTGGTCAAAGCCCCCATCGGTGTCCCTGATGAGGGCCCTAGGGCTTGGGGGACCCAGCTAAGTCCGACTGGCCACCCTCTCCTGCTACCACCTCTTCACAGCAAGCACCATCTTGGTGACTTCTTTAAGCCTGGTGCTGCCCCCGGTTAGTGAGGTGTCCAGCCAGGAGGACGGGTAAGACTATCAGGCTAATGAGGGCCGTGGAAAACGGGGCTGTAGGACGGTGACACTGTGGCGTGTGTGACTCTCCATGCTGCTTCTATGGGGAACCTAATCTGCAACTGGATTCATTGTCTTATTCTAATTTTGGCAGTGAGGGTGGGGCAGGAGGGGAGATTTATGGCTGGGGGGGGTAAGGGCTGAAACAGGAAGCGGCAGTGCGTCAGGTGTTGATACCTGAGACGATAGTGCTGCTTTATGTGTGTGTTCCTGTGTGACGAGCCGCTGAGGTCGTGTTACAGGGGCCACTGGCGAAACACGAGCCTCTCGCGATGCCGCAGTGACCTGCGCATTACCTCACTTCCTGTCTCCCCCAAGCAGTGTCTTCTGCCCCCGGGACGTGGTGGAGGAAGCTGTGTTGCTGCTGCTGACCACAGAGTCCATGGTGAGACGCTCAGTCTGTCTCTCGCTGTCCGTCCCTTTTCTGTCCCTTTTCCAGTTACGCATGAGATGCTTTTTCATCTTATTCTCTCCTTCTCTCTGTATCCATTTCTCCCCTCTTTACATCTCACCCTCTTCACCTCTCGCCACTCTCTTGCCGTTTGATGTTCTGGATGCCTGTATTTTTTACTGAAACTGGTTGTGTTGTTTTTCAAGCACCTTAAAAGTCTTTACAGATTGTCCTGTATTATAAAGAACAATTATCATGTTCCTGCATGTAACTTTCTAAAGGAAAAGCAGGATTCTGACAATATTGCAGCCGCTTTTCAGTCGTCTTCTTAAAAGACAAGAGCTCTGTTTATTTGACAATTATTTGTCGTTTATCTGTCCGTTGTAGTCCTCTGTTGGTCAGTGAGAGCTTTGTAGTGAACTAGGTCTTGACTGACCCCTGTAGGCCAGTGGAGATGCCGTCATCAGCCTTACGACCGATCAGAAGGGGGCCCAGGAGGCCAGCCTGCAAGATGCCACCTCCCTCTATGACATGCTGACCATCGGCTTGGCCAGGAGGGGGCAGTTTGCCTTGCTCTCTCAGGTGGGCCCCTGCAAATGGAAAATGAGGAGAAAAAAAAGAAAGAGTTAATCAGAATGGGGCCGTGGTATGCGGAGGGCAAAAAGAAAACCGGCCTCAATCTGCCTGGATCCACAAATGGGGGAAAAGTGAAGCAGGTTTCTCCTGATGCAGCTCCTTCGTCTCCCCCTGCTGGTGAAGGCTGAGCGCACTTTCTGATGTAACGACACTTTGCCGCAACGGCCACAGCTCTCTAACCCTTGCTGATACTGCAGCACAGTGATGGACTGCAGCCCAAAGGCTGATCGCAGCTGTTAATATGAATGCTCCTTTTGCTCGCCCCCCCTCGCTCCCCTCCGCCTGTGTGCCGCGTTGGGCTCCTCCATGGCTGTCTATTGGCTCACCTTTCTGCCCCCCCCCCCCGCCCCCCCACCCTCAGGTTGGCCGAGCTGCTCCAGGATTGCTGCTGTTTCACTTCGCGTACAGATCCAGGTGACCCAGACAGCCCTGATCAGCGGCAGGGGGCTTTAAATTAACTCTGTCTGTCTGTCACTCACTCGCTGTCTTCCCTCCCCCTTTAATTACCCCTCCCCCACACACTAACACCATTCCATTCACCCAGGAGTTGAGGACATTCAGAGTGTGTTCCTGTTTGGTGTTGACTAATAACTTTATGCGTTAACCCCTAACCTGGGACTCACCCTGTGCTCACGTGCGTGTGGGAGGTGCTTGAGTTCCGCTTGGTCTGCCAGTGTCTCGTGCCAATTTACAGGGACGGTAGATGCTTTGCAGATACGCCGCCATCGCACGGAAATGACCCGTCTGCCCACTGTGCGTCCTGCAGCGTCTGGAGGGAGCCATGAAATTCTCCTTTAACGAGTTCCACCTCTGCTACCAGCTGGGCCTCTCTTTCATGGCTAGCGGCAAGGTGAGGTCCCGCCATGTGCATACGGTCCGCCACTTCCTCAATAAGAGCAAGCCAGCAGGTTGGCGTGCTTGGGGCTTACGGCCGCAGTGCAGGTGCAGGCAGGGGAGGAGTCTGTGTGGATGTTTTACATTTTACATTCCCTCTCCCGGTGTGCGAGCTGCTCTGCAAAGGTGCATCTTTACAGAGACTCAGCTCACCTTCAGTGCTGATGGATGGGCTTGCCCAATAATTGGGAGTCCCTTGATGCTGGGAGTTGTTTAGGGTGGGTAACATCACCTCAGTTTGGGGGGAACACTCTGGTAATAGATTTCCTCCTGGGTACCGTTCACTTACAAACCCAGTCTGTCTGTTTTCAGGGAGCTGATTGGGGTCATTGAGTGCAATTTCACTTGTCGGCCATGTTGTTGTAAAGTTTACTTGCTGTCTGGGAGGTCAGATATCCACCAGGGTCGTACCAACACATACAACGCTTACAGAACAAGACCTGAACGTGTCAGTCTGAACTGAAGAGCCATTTAACGGCGCTGGTGATGTGGCACAATGTCGCCCAGTGAGTGGCGATGTCCTGCAGGGGCAAGATATTAAGATTTTATAAGCTGACAGAAATGGCTGCTGTGTCTCAATTGGAAGAAAATCTCAAACCATGTGCCCCCCCACTGGTCTGGTCCTTCACCCATACACACACCCCCTTGCATTAACAAGCTGTGAACTTTGCCCCACCTTCTTTGATTGTGGTGGGGGGGTTCACGGCCCTGTCCTCTCTGAGAAAAACAGGACACTAGCGTAGGAAGCACTGGGATCCAGTTCTGCTCAATATAATTAGCACTGGTGTGATGAAGGAAGAGGCGCACATAAAAGCCCCCCCCCCCCCACGCGCGGCATGCGGCACGCTGCGTCCGACCCACTGCCGTGACAGAGCACTTTCCTGAGTCGTCACGCGTCGCCCGCTGCACTGAAGCACTCTGCGGGTGTCCCTGAATTATTAATGCTCGTCCCTTCACCGGGGTGTGTGGATCTCATGCTCTGCTCCTTTGTGAGTCACCCTCATTTGAATTCCTCTGACCCCACCCTCCAGTGTCTCTGCTTAGCAGACCATCCATATGGATTTATGACTCCACCCCCCAGCTTCATAACCCCGCCCCTTTCCTGTCTGAAACCCCACCCTCTCGTTTCCCTGCTCTGTGATCCAACCTGCTTGTTTTTGTGGTGTGTTTGACCACACCTCTTTTTCTTTTTTGCCTTTCGTTTGTCTTTCCCAGTCAGCCTCGTACCCTGACTTACAGCTCCCACTTTCTGAACACACCTTCTACCCATCCTGTGTCCCGCAGGCTGCCAGTGCCGTCTCTGTGTTGAAGGAATGCACCCAGATGCAACCCGATGACCCCACACTGCCCCTCCTGGCGGCCAAGATATGCATCAACCAGCTGCGCTGGGTGAGTCGAGGTGTGGGGGGAGCAAACAGAACATGCAGAGAAGTGCAAGCTGGCAGTGCCAAAGCGGATACATGGACGGAGGAAGTGACATCACTAGCAGCTGTCCTGGTCATGGATGGTGATGCTAGCAGTTACAGGAAGTTCCCGGTTATAAGATGACACATGCTGCATTAATCCTTCGTCCCCACCTGCAATGTCTCTCGAGGTCATGGCTTATGACATACCTCACCCGCCTCTGATTTACTGGTGGAGACCTGTACCTCTGAGAAGGTGGTACTGATGCCAGGAGGGCACAGAAATATCCTGTCCTCTCGCTGCTTGCCTGGCCTGGTTTAAAAGGCGGACTGCTAATCCGACGGCCGCCTTGCAGGTGGGCGCTTACTGGGAGCGGCCATGCCCAGATCTCATCAAGGTGACGTGCTGAAGGCATCCTTATGTCCCTAACCCCCCCAGTGAATCATCTGTGTTTGTCTGTCAGCTGGAACAGGGTGAGGCCTTGGCACAGAGTGTTGTCGCCATGGGAGATGAAGCCGGGGACTTCCTGCCTCGGGCGCACCTGGCCATCGGGCTCTGCTACAGCCTGCGGGCTACAGAAGGTGATGGGGGTGCGGGGGGCGCGGCCCGTGGGGGTGTTTGGGTGGCCGAGGGGTGCCAAAACCTTCTTGACATTAATTCCATGTGTAAGCTCACTATCAATGGAAATTTCTCACAGAAACAGAGATAAGTGTCTGTGCATTTGGGGTAGATCAATGTATAAGGGCATCCAAACTGATGAGGGAAGGAGTGATTCCAGGATTTTTATTAAGGTCAGGGGCCAAAATTTATGTGGAGGCGGCAACCTTATTATTAGCCAATGATATGTTTTGAATTGGTGAGTGACAGGGGAAGGGGTACTTTGGAGACCAATAAGCTTTTAGCTTGGGACCAAGGTGTCAGAAAAAGAAGGAGAGGAGTTGACAATGTTAAATGGGGGGTTCTGAGAAATAAAGGAAAGTCCCTTTGTGCTCGTCTAATAAGACAGAGGACATCCAGCTTTTCTGTTCCAGCAAGGCCCTGACTGCGGCACGCTTGCCAGTTTAATGAGCGTACTTCAGAAAGACACTTTGAGGTTTATCCTGGAGACACTGCAGAGAACCTGCCCTCTGCCGATTCCCAGAAACGTGGCTCCGAGAAGCTCTGTGTTCCCGCGCTTGGCGGTGTCCCAGATCAGAGCGCCGAAATCGAGGCCACACCATCTCTCTGCGGGACGGCGTTCCGAGAACGCTGATCCTGCGTTTCCCGCGTCCCGGCCTGGGGTCTTGGGGACGTGCTGCACCTTTCTGAGCAACAGCTCGGAGGAATTTGCACCTGGGGCGATGGCGACCTGCAACCCAGAAAAAAAACTATGGCGAGCCTGTCGAGATCTGGTTCCTCTAGCACTTGACAGTGTATTATGGGTAATTATGTTATCTGGGCACCAAATGGCTTCTCAATGTCCTGGTCATCATCTCTGTACTGGCCTGCTGTTTGTTACTGCTGTAGGGCCCATCTCACTTGGAAGCCACACCCCCCCCACACACAGACTGGCGCCCCCTAGTGGTCACATGGTGTCAGTCACACACTCTCGCTCACAAGATGTTCATGTGTCCCTGTGAATGCAAATGCACTCGTACCTTGAGCTTCTAATCTTCAAGACGTACTTCAAGCAAAATTCTTCGAACTCTTTCAAATTACGTGCCCTGCGATGGGGTGTTCCCTGTCTTGCGCCCGCAGCCTCCATGATAGGCTCTGGACAATCAGTGACCCTGAATAGGACAAGCAGTCTCAGAAAATGGAAGGATGGATGGATGGATGGATGGATGGATGGACTTTCAAACTGTGTCACCGATACCTCTTTGTCCTGGGTGGGGCTGATGTGATGTCAGGCTGTTGGTTCCTTCCCCTGCTGGGCAGATGGGATGCTTGGCTGGCCTGCCGTGCTCCAGACCGAAACTGCATTGCGATCTGCAGCTGTGTTATCATGGGGGGCACGTTTTCCGGCTGCCTTTCGGGGGAGGGGGAGCGCTCGAATTGCCCGCCACAAGATCTGTTTGCAGCTAATGAAAGTTTGATAGGAAAAAAAAACGCAGAGAAGAGGCTAGGGAAATTAATTATCTCCGCAAACGGTGAGTGAGTCCGCTGTGCTTGTTTGTCTCTCTGCAGCTACTCTGAAGGTCACACAGGATGACTTCAACAGACGGGCGCTGGAGTCTCTGCAAAGGTGTGTGTGCCTGTTTGTTTTGGGGGGGGGGGGGGGGGGGGGTGAGTGCTGGCCCTGCCAGCTGTGACAGAGGGAGCTGCTTTGGCCTGGAGCAGCAGAATGTTTGGATTATGTTCGGTCTGGCAACTCCCAGTAACCTTATATAGAGCTTGTGTGCTTTGACCTTTGACCCCAACCCCAGGCATTCTATCTGGCTTGTTTTGTTTTGTGATGTCATGTAATTTAAGCCTGTATGATTGTGGTGGGCCGAAGGGGGCGCTGTGTGCAATTGTCTGACTGATTAGAGAGCTCATTCCCCCCCCCTCCCCACTGCAGGGCCCATTTGCTGGATCCGGACGACCCCCAGATCGCCCTCTACCTTGCCTTGCAGCTCGCGCTCGTCCGGCAGGTCAGCTCAGCACTGCCCCGGCCTGCTCGGCGTTCCCACAGAGTCCCCGTCTGTCTGCCGTGTGTGGCCTGTAGGCGACCCGGACGGCGTGGGCTGGATGGGGAGTGGTGGTGGGGGGGGGGGTTTCGGGCTGGGGGGGTCACCTAACCAAAGATGCAATGGTACAGTATCACTATCTCTCTCCAAAGAGCATGTGGATGCCCCACTGGGTGAAAAATAGGGCATTCTGGGAAACCACTTCAGGACAAAAGGGCTGTGCGTGTGTGTATGTGTGTGTATGTGTGTGTGTGTGCGTGCGTGTGTGTATGCGTGTGTGTGTATGTGTGTGTGCGTGTGTGTGTATGTGTGTGTATGTGTGTATGTGTGCGTGCGTGCGTGTGTGTGTATGTGTATGTGTGTGTGTGTGTGTATGTGTGTGTATGTGTGTGTGTGTGTGTATGTGTGCGTGTATGTGTGCGTGTATGTGTGCGTGTATGTGTGTGTGTGTGTATGTGTGTGTGTATGTGTGTGTGTATGTGTGTGCATTAGAATGAGG